GGCTGCTACGAAATGTTCCAACTCCAGTTGATAGGCCGTCTGGACAGATCGGCCCAGTTGCAGCCCAACACATGCATGATCTGATGAGGGTATGTAGTTATAATTTACTATGTATTCATTAATTTTTTTTTAGACACCTGGCTTATATCTTCTATATTGCACTTGTTTATAGGCAGGTTCTTCTGGAACAGAGTTGGTTGAGATGTATAGGTTTTATCAAGATAAGTATCATTAGAACATGTCTAACCAACAATCTCTAGAGACAACTTTGAAGAATGCTAGAAAGTCTCTTAATGGAATTAAGCTGATAAAAGCAAAAGATGATGCCGAATTGTCTTCTCTGCGTGAGAAAGTTGAAAAAATGAAAAATCTTGAAGAGGAGATAAAGGATCTTAAATCTCAGCTTGAAGATAAGAACGCCGTGAAGGATCAACTTTCCATTGCACAGAGTGATCTTTCTAAGGCTAAGGCAACAATCGGCAACCTAGAAGGCCAGCTGCAAAAAATAGAAGCCGATAAATCTGGTATACGGCAAAGGGCGGTTAGCCGTTATTTGTCATCGGCTGAGTTTTGCAGTAAACTGCAAGATCGTTTTGATGGTGGATGGACTGCTGCTCAGAGGTGTGCTGCTCATGTTATCGGCTTAAAACAAGAAGACTGGGCTAAGATTGAAACAACATTTAATAATGATGCTCACAAGACACCTTCTGGATTCGAGCAACAAGAGTTCTCAGACGCAGATATCTTTAATCTTGCTCCTCCTGCCGATATCGGCGTTTTCGATCCTAAGATTTTGGATTCTCCTGAACCTGAAAACAAAACGACTTAAAGGGGCGGGCAGCCATCACCATCATCATCTTGTGGCTCTTGTGTTATCGGGCCTTACTCATTGTAATTTCTACTTTGGTTATGTATTTTTAGAAAACTTACTTTTGACAATGCTGTTTTATCGGCATATATCCTTTTGTGGTGATGTCTGTCGATCTTGTTTTAGCTTTGCCAAAAAATTGCTTCCTTCATAATATTATGTTTGTAAACCTTTTATGTATTTACGTTTTTATGCGATTCTCTTAAACACTATAACTGTCTTAGTTTTAACTTTTATTGCTTTTAATTATTCAATTCGGAATCAATTTACTTTATATAACTCGTCCGTTATATTTGTAAGCATAAGGATATCAACATAGCCCCTTATTAAGACTGTAATATCGGGCGTAGTATAGCCCCTTATTCTTCCCCGCTTAGTGCAGACATCATTTTCATGATGTATGTACTTACATGTTTTTATATACGGAGGTAGTTTGTTTTATAACTCATTGGTCACTTGTGCAACTATATAATAGTTTCGCAAGTACCCTTATCGGCGATCATGCTGTAGTTGCGCTTCATGTCGGCGCATACTATATAATGATTTGGCCGGGATATTATATTGAACCAACAACCTCGTGTTTTAACGAATACAACTGATCAGGTTGTAAAAGCGTTGTCATCACGGAAGTGGATTTTGGCTGTCCATCCCAATTGACGGTGATCTGTTAATTGGAGGATGCCTTTATACCCAAATTGTAGAGTAGATCATTGTATCTGATTTTATTTATCATCACTATTATACAAAATACTTTAATTCGACTTTTATATTATACATAGTATTTCTTAAGAACTGCAATATTCCAGACATTCTTCAGCTGCTTTCCGTCTTTAGTTTCCAGATAGTATGATCCCTGCATTACCATGTCTCTTATTCGATACGGACCTTCCCAGGTAGCCGTTAACTTTCCATCTTCATTCCCCTTTCCTGTTGCTGATGTTCTTCTTAATACTAAATCTCCGACAACTAATGGCCAGTGATTAACTCTCTTATTATAGGCCCTTAACATTCTGTTTTTGTGTGCGGCCGATTTAACTGCCGCTCTCTCCCTTACTTCTGGCAAAAAATCTAACTGTTGTCGCAATAGTAGATCATTTTGCTCTTCACAGTAGTGTTGTATTCTGAATGTCGGCAGACCGACTTTGGCTGGTATAACTGCTTCTGTTCCGAAAACCAAGTGGAAAGGGGATTCTCCTGTTGCTTCTTTAACTGTTGTTCTATTTGCCCATAAGATCTCTGGAATCAAATCTGCCCACAATCCTTTAGCATCTTCGATCTTTTTCTTTATTGCCATTACTATCTGCTTATTAGCTGCTTCTGCCTGGCCGTTTGATTGTGGATGGCAAACTGCTGCATATGCAAACTTGACTTTGTAAATTGTTAGCAAAGTTTTTACAGGCTTGCAATCAAACTGTGATCCATGATCAAAAACCATTGCTCTCGGAAGGCCAAATCTTGTAAAGATATTTTTCCAAATGAACTTTCTGACTTCTGCTGCCGATATTGTTGTTACCGGCTCTGCTTCGATCCATTTGGTGAAGTAATCTACACCCACCTGTAGGATTTTTTGATTTCCAGTTGCTGACGGAAAGGGACCAACTATATCCATCCCCCATTGTGCAAATGGTACTGGATTCAATATCGGCGTTAAATCATTTGGTGGCCGGTTCAGAATAGGTGCAAACTTTTGACATTTTTCACACTTTTTAACATAAGAAGAAGCATCTTCATTCATTACTGGCCAATAATATCCTCTTCTCATTATTTCTCTTGAAAGAGCTCGTGCCCCCAGGTGATTTCCACAAGTTCCTTCATGAATCTCTTCTATCAGCCTTGTAGATTCTTCTGCTGTTATACACCTTTGTAATGGGAACGAGAACCCTATTTTATAGAGTTGGCCCTGGTATAGTATGAACCATACGCTATCTTTTTTTATTTTTCGAGCTTCTTCTTTCTCTATCGGCAAAGCTCCTGTCAGCAAGTATGTTAGGATTTTGTCATACCATTGCTCCCCCTGCCGAATGCAATGAACTTCCTTTGTCGATTCGTCTATGCTTCTCTGCTTCAGAACCTCTACCATAACTGTTCTCTCCAAGTCATTAAAACTTGAACTGGCTAGCCTTGCTAGAGCATCAGCCTGGGAATTTTGTGCTCTCGGCACCAATTGCACTTCAAAATACTGCAGTTGGGCTGTAAGCTCATTTATTTTTTCCAGATATTTTATCATCGCCAGTTCTCTTGCTTCATATTCCCCACGAAACTGACTGGAAACCAACTGCGAGTCAGTTTTGAGAACTAATCTTTTCGCTTCTGCCACTATAGAAAGCTGAATACCCGCAATTGCTGCCTCGTATTCAGCTTCATTATTTGTAGCTTTGAATTTGAACTTCAAGGAATATTCAAAAACCTCTCCATTCGGGGCTTTTATCACAATATCGGCTCCAGATCCCATTAAGGTTGCTGAGCCATCTACCGATACCTGCCATGTCCCCAATTCTTCCTCCTCATCATTATAGGAGTTTTCTACAACAAAATCTGATAGGTCCTGTGCTTTTATTGACACCCTGGGTTTGTAATACAGCTCATATTCCGATAATTCAACAGCCCATTTCAATAACCTTCCTAATGTATCCATTTTCTGCAATGATTTTTCCAATGGATGATTCGTAAGGATTTCTATTGGATGTGCATCAAAATAAGGTCGTAATTTCCTAGCAGCAATTACGACAACAAAGGCCATTTTTTCTATCACTGGATATCGTCGTTCAGCAGCATTAAGGACATGACTGACAAAGTATATCGGCAATTGTTGTTTGGCCCTCTCAACTATCAGGACTGAGGCCACTGTTTTTGGCGACGCTGATATATATAACTGTAAGTATTCTCCCGGCTCCGTTCGTGCAACTGTTGGGAGAGACTTCAAATGGTTTCTTACCATCTCTAAAGCATCAGCTTGATCTTTTCCCCATTCAAATGACTTGTTTTGTCGCAAAACCACAAAAAACGGGAGCGCTTTATCCGCCGATTTGCTGATGAAGCACGTTAAGGCCGCCATTCTTCCTGTTAATCTCTGAATGTCTCGAATTGATTTAGGTTATTTCATTTCAAGAAGAGCATTAATCTTATTAGTATTTGCATCAATGCCCCGCTCGCTAATCATAAATCCTAAGAATTTCCCAGATCGGACTCCGAAAACACATTTTTCTGGGTTGAGCTTCATCTGATATTGCCGCAAAGTTTCAAAGGTCTCTTTCAAATCCTCCATATGATCTTTTTTCATCTTGCTTTTTACTATTGTATCATCTACATATACTTCAACATTGCGGCCCTTCTGATTTGCGAAAATTTTATCAACCAGCTTTTGATATGTCGCACCAGCATTCTTCAGTCCAAACGGCATTGCCTTGTAACAATATACCCCGGCATCTGTTATGAAAGCCGTTTTAGGCCTATCAGCTTCATGAAGACTAACCTGATGATACCCAGAGAATGCATCTAAGAAGCTTAGCATTTCATGGCCAGAAGTTGAATCTACCAACCTGTCTATCCGAGGCAACGGATAACAGTCCTTTGGGCAAGCTTTATTGAGATCTGTAAAATCCACGCACATCCGCCATTTCCCGGTCGGCTTTCTAACCATTACAACATTTTCCAACCATTCTGGATAAGTACATGGTTCTACAAATCCTGCCGCTAACAGCTTGTTGACTTCTGCTTGAATGGCTTCAATTTATTCTGTTGAGAAGTTGCGCTTCTTTTGCCTTACCGGTCTGAACCTTCGGTCAACATTGAGTTTATGTTCCATCACTTCTGGGTGTATGCCCGGCATATCACTTACCGAAAAGGCAAACACATCCGCATTTTCTCTTAACAAGCTGATCAGATTACACCTCATTTCAACATCCATATCGGCCCCCACCTTAACTGTTTGACTTGGGTTCCCTGGTCGGAGTTCCACTTGCACTGTCTCACCTCCTGGTGACGTCCTCGGCGCAGTTTCTGGCCTAGAATCAAAATTCTCCATTGACAAATCTCGCACTGTTGGCTCTCTTGCCCGCTTAGGGTTGTTTGGTACTTCTCCTTTCTGCCCCAGATTTTTTAACGCCGTGACATAGCATGACTTTTCCATCACCTATCCGCCATGTACCTTTTCCACAACCCCTCTATTTGACACATAAGCAATAGTTAGATGGTAAGTTGATACTACTGCCTGTATGTCATGAATTATCGGCCTTCCCACAATTGCATTATACGCCGACGGTACATCCACTACTAAAAATTCAGTCATCGCATCTCTTGTTGTTGTACCGTCTCCAAGCCTAATAGGGAGAACTATACTCCCTTTTGGCCTTACTGTTGAACCGTTAAACCCAATCACCGGATATGATACCGGCGTTAAATATTGTCGGCCTATCATCAACTCATTGAAGGCTTGCATAAACAGAACATTTGCTGAACTTCCTCCATCAACTAGAACCCTTTTCACATCGGCTCCATTGATCTTTTTTATTAATACAAGGGGATCATCATGAGGAAACACTATTCCTTTTGCATCTTCTTTAGTAAAGGTTACATTCGGAATTTCGGACGGTTGTGGGCGATCAGCAACATCTAATGTATTAACAATGTGCCGATATTCCGACAGGTGCTTCCGTACTCCACTTATGGTTCCTCCATGAACTGGTCCACCGGTTATTACATCAACTCTTTTTCCAGTGGACGACGGTGGTTGTCTGCCTTCACCCTGTCGGTTCACTTGACCTTGTCTTTCTGGCCGGTATTCTATCTGCTGGCGTTCTGGTTGGCGATATTGTTGTTGCTGACTTTCCCCAGAGTGTAACCGGTATTGAGTAAGATGCCCCCTTCTTATTAATTCTTCGATATTATCCTTCAACTGCACACAGTCCTCAGTGTAATGCCCTACATCTCGGTGGAACATGTAATACTTCTTGGTATCCCTTCCTTTCACTTTCATCGGCATGGGTCTCACCCATCCTTCTCGGTTTTGATTTATAGAATATATTGCAGCCCTTGGTGCATTTAGAGGTGTATACGAATTATATCGCATTGGTGCTTTGGCTCCTCTGACCTCTTGGCGACTTCCTCCTCTTGCTGCCGTTGGGTTCCTCGACCTCACAATTCCTGAAGATCCCCCTTCAGACATAGGGTGAATTCTATCAGTAGAACTTATTCGGCTGCTTGTCTTCATCAATTCCTCACTTTTAATATAATCATGAGCTTTGTTAAAAGCTGCAGCTAATGTTGGCTGATTTTTTCGGGTTAAGTACCTCTTGAATTCCGAATCATTCAGACCGTTCATTAGTGCCATGACTGCTATCTCCTGCTGCAATCTTGGAATTGTATTAGCTTCATTATTAAACCTCCTTATATAATCCCGTAAAGATTCATCTGCCTTCTGAGTAACAGCCATTAACTCTCCAGAAGTTCTCTGCCGAACACTATTACTGACATACTGCCCTACGAACATTTCGGCTAACTGTTGGAAACTGTGAATTGCTCCATTTTCAAGATTATTGAACCAATCGGCTGCTGCTCCAACCAGAGTAGTGGGAAATACCTTACACCAAACGGCATCAGAATTGGTGTATAAAATCATGTGACCCTCATACAAGGTCATGTATCTACCTGGATCTCCCCTTCCATCATATCGACATGTTGGCATTTTGATTTTCTCCATTGGCTGATCAAGGATGCTTTGTGCAAATGGTGATGCCCTCAACTGAACTACTCTTCGCACCGCTCCTTGTTAGTAAGTTCTCGTACTTTCATCCTGACCTGAGGATCGAACCTCTGATTCTCTAGGGGTCTGTTGGGATCTTATCGGCGACCCCTCATTCCGGCGTCTTTGCGAACTTCCGTTCTGGTTAAATTGATTGCCATGAGCTGTAAAAGGCATCCCCACTACTACAAAAAAGGCAAAAGAGACCCGTTGTAAATGGCATAAGAGACCTCTTTAGAGGAGGTCTCTAGCTCACAGGTCTCTTTGATAAAGAGACTTGTTCTATTGAACATGTCTCTTTGAAATAAATAAGAGACCTGTTAACTAAGGTAACAGGTCTCTTTGCATGTAATTACACCATATATTTAAGAAGGGGAAGAGACCTGTTATTTAAGACATCAGGTCTCTTTGATATCAATAAAGATACCTGTTATCTAAGATAACAGGTCTCTTAAATATATTTATTTTTAAAAAAAAAAATCGCTGATATATATTTATTATTTTGTAATTACTCTTCTAAAATTAGAAAGAAATTGTATATTACAAAAAGAAACAATTAATTTGATAAATTTACATAAACTTATATTATTATTGAATGTACTAATATATAGTAACTTAATTACAATGAGTAAGATCTACATGTATATAAGAACAATACTTTACAAGTATATAAGACATTATGAATAATTTACAAGTATATAAGAACTTATGGAAATACTTCTAAGTTACCAAAACTAACAACATTCCCATCCTTGGTAATTTCTTTAGCCCTCCATTATCAAATTAGCGAGTTTCTCGAATTGCTCATCCTCCTGTAAACCACTAAGGGAATCAATTAAAAAAATGCACCAAAGCTTATAATTCAAATTAAAAACTAGATTTTAACAACATAAACACAACTTTAACAACTGTATTAGCAACAAATCATCCTCTTCCTGTATAGCTTAATGAATTTAGATTAATTAATTTTGTCATACAATCTAACAACATCAAATTTTTTCATTATGGAAGTCTCATCATCAATAGAAAATCAAGGGGATAAATCACTTTAAACAACATTATATCTTCACAAAAATCAACTCTTAGGCATAAATCAATCATAATATCCAAAATAACCCAGAAAAATCATCAATTTTCAAGCATCTATAGACAATTTTCAAGCATCTATAGACAATTTTCAAGCAATCAATTGACCCATCAACACCAACATTAAGCCTAAACCTCACTTAACACCACCGTAAAAATCTCCTAACCCCTGTACAAAAACCCAATACCATCCCAACCTCGTAGAAACTACCACCAACCCCGTGATAAACCACCCCTACCCCCACCCCATGAAAACCATCTCGATCCCGTATAAACTACCATTACCCAGGTAAAACCCTAACAACCCCAACCCGCAACAACCCTTGTATTAAAACAAAAACTACCCCTACCCAAGTAAAACCTATCAACCCACGAAAAAACCGGCCACGTACCCAATCTAACCAAAAACCACCTCCACTAAAACACCTTGTCACCAACTCAAAAACATTTCAAAATATTCAAATTAAAACTAATATGGAAACATACCTTTGCAAATTGTGGCATTTTTTTGGGCGAATTTGACCATAAGACTCTAGATCTAGAGTTTTCTTGATCAAAATTGACATTTAAATCCTCTAACTCGAGTTAAAAGGAGACAACCTAACGCCGATGTAGGACGAGGATGCAATAACGTTGTAGATGAGGCTCGGAGGATTTAATGGCGCAATCAATTGCTCAAGGATTAAAAAAAAGAAAATGGAGATGAAAGGAGAAGTGATGAGGGTGAAGGAGAGAGGCGCATAAAAGGGGGATTGAGAAAGAGATGGGGCGTATGAATGATAATGAGAAGGAAAATTTTGATTAAAGAAAAACAAGAAAGGGTCGTAGTGGGCTGTGGGCCTTTACACACATAAGAGACCTGTTGAAATATACAACAGGTCTCTTAATTCTCTTACACTATCTCAAGTAAAAAAGTGGTGGGCCCTCTAGCATTTTAGAGACCTGTTATCACTATTATTAGGTCTCTTATATCAAAGAGACCTGTTCTAGTAACCAACAGGTCTTTTATTATAGGTTTCTTTGGGCTTTTTTATAGTAGTGCCCCCTCCATCTTGGGTTGCCCCTATTTCTTTTCTTTTCTTGCTCATAGCTGTCATTACCCTTGCAGCTGTTGCCAACTCTTCTGATGTAAACCCTTCCGTAGGGTCTATATCTGCCCCAGCCTGCCCTTCAGGGGTTAACGGCATATGGAATTCATTACCCTCCAAAGTATGAGTTTCATCCTCAATCTGAATTTCTGGATCAGACATTTTATTTATTTATTTATTTTTTATCGGAATGAATAAGGCTCTTTCAGGCGATAGAAGCTATTTAAGTAGCCCCCCTCCTTCTAGCGCCAACAGTTTCTGCAGGAATCCGATAATCCGAATTCTTGTTCTGCTCCTATCGGCCAAATAAGAACCTACACAAAGAGAAGAGATGAGGTAGCCCCGGGGTGAATCCGGGGATAACCACTCCAAAGATTAAGTCAGCAAGTGTTTATAGAAGAAAGATGATTTAGAGAGAGAAAGAAAGTAGTGAGAGAAAGAGTGTAATAAATGCTACCTTGTTTATGAAGTAAAACCGGATTATTTATATGTTTACTAAGTGACAGATGGCAGTTCAATAAGTAACATAATTTCTGCCACGTGTCAAACGCGAGCACGACACGTGGCAGCTACTTACATGCCGATATGTATAGTTTATAGGAATGCCGATATTAACAAAAGCCATTTGATGGATCGAATTCAAATAGTATGTCGGTCTATCATACCATATTGGCCCATTATGATTTCCGTTATGTAGATATTTTCCCATACACCTAATACTTAATTAATTTACTGTTTACAATCTCGTACAATATGATTAAGCAAATCTGCGAATTACAAGCTCGTGTATATATGCAGATTTGTAACTCAATGTGGAAGATATATAGAAGGACTGTACTACACCAATGACAAAAACATGTTTTTAATCCGTATGTATTCCTCGCGTCCCCCCCGTGGAATTGGTTCACATGTGAAACGATAAGATCAACTAAACAACTATCAAGATATTTCCTTACTCCGTATTTTATTTAATTGCAAGTTGCAACACATTTCATTTTACTTTTTAAATGCATGCCTTTTTTTTTTATTATAAATATCTTTAATAAGTAATAAGTAAAAAATAATAAATATTTTATATTATAAAAACATAGATTGCTATTAGGAAAAAAAAAAAATTTAATTATAGGGTTTTACATAAGAGTGCAATTTTATGTTAATTATAATTCATAAAATGTACTTATATACCCCATATGTCTCTATTTCCCTCTATTTATTGGCATATTTTGACCACACAATATTTTATAGTATACTTTGACCGGCACAATTTTTATAAAAATTTAATTGACTTATTTTTGTGACAATTAACAGTACAGGTTATAAACTTTTATTTAATATTTATAGTTATTGAATTGTAGTGTTATTATTATAAACTAGAATGTACTTATGCTAATGCATGAGCTATTTGTATGTGTAGGAAACAAATTAGTATTTCTGTATAAATGGAAGTTACATAAGTGAAACTGTGAAAGCTCGAAGTTTTTTTTTTTTTTTTTTTAGAAAAAGAAATAACTTTGTAAAAGTTAATTATTTAGGGTAATTAGAGTTATTTGGAAGTTATTTTCAAAAATAAAAAAGAGAGAATGCATGACTATTGAGAGTTGGGGGTTTGGAGTGCTATGAGAAAGTGTTGCAAAACCGACTCTTAAATTATATAAAAGATAATCAACAAATTCCTACCTTATAAAAAGTATAAAATTGCTCTTATTAATAGTGTGATGCCAATTATACCCTTCAAAATTGTGCGTTTGACAATTATACCCTCATTAATATGTACAAGCTTTTTTTTTTTTTAAATGAATAGTGTTTGACAACTATACCCACCAAAATGTTTATTTACTTAATTATTTTTCTCTCATTAATGTTAGTTGTCATGGACATTTATACTTCTAAACATAGCTGCTTACATATCAATACTTTTATTTGTGATTTAAGGCCAATCGAAAGAAGGTTAGCTATGACGCGCGCATAACGCGTGTTAGCTTCCCTAATATATAATAAAAGCGAATGTGTCAATCCTGGTTGGGAAAAAAAAAAACTTTCAAGGAAAAAATATGATATGGTGTAGAATGATACGGAGTGCAGGAGTATAACACATTATTCCAATATATTACCTTATACGTAGTATATGTTTGCTTATTATAGAAAGATACTTATTGTATTACAAAATGTAAGAAATATTTGTTAGAATATATTACGAAAAATTCATTTAGCTTAGTGATTTCGAACCCATAAGGAAAAAAAAATCCTAATTTTTTTAAAATGGGTTATTGCTTAAAGTCTTGAATTGGAGTATCATTTGATATGCTTTGGATTAGTAAAGATTTGTACATACAATCAATTACATAATACTAAAAGCGAATCTAAGAGGACACTTGTCAATGTGTTATTAAAAAAATTCCCGCTAAAATTACTTTCTAAAAAAAATATTATTACATTAAAAAAAAAGGATTGCATTTTGATTATGACTTTGATTTTATATAAAATCTAAAGTAAACTTTCTAAAATATCAACTTGCACATTATAACTGTCACATATTTAAATATTTTATCTATCATGTTTTTATTGTTTTAATACGAACTGTATTTCATTTTTAATACGAACTGTATTTCATACGGTTTAATACTGATCAATCGATTTAGTTTTTTAATATCTAATTATATTTTCATTATAATTAGTCAATATCCGTGCATTGCACGGGGTTTCACCTAGTTGTTAAGTAAATTTGATGATATTACGAACATTGTTTCACGACTGTTATGTGGTACGTAGATCTGTCTTTATTTTATTTATTTTTTAAATGTTTTTAGGGCCGGGTTTTTAGATAATATATATGATCGTCAATGTCCTACCATTATTAAAATCCTAGCGAATTCAATACCAATAAAACCAATTATGTCCGTCAATTAACTAAGATTGGTGATTGTTTTATCTAAATCCAAAAAATCAATTGTTGCACATAGTGTAAAACGGATATATGGTACATATGAGATTTGATTTTGATAGCGTACATAACATATTCCTGGGGATCAACCATTAGCTTAAGCTTTTGGTTGAAATGATCCTTCAACAAATTTCATGTTTAGCAACACTAAGACTTAAGCAATTTACTATCACAAATATTTAATAAAATCCGGTGTACAGTATTTTACTGAATGGCGGCGGAAAGAAAAGGAAGGTTTTACTCACCCACCCAAGTTAAACATATTTCTCGCTCCTTCATTCTCATTTCCCACTTTCAGATACTAGAACTTCTCTCTCCTTTTTTTTCTCTCTTCTCTTCATCTACTCAGAGTTTCTCTTCCATTCTTTTTGGGTGATCCAAGTTTTTTCTTCCTTTCATTTATTATATCCCTTCGATTTTCAAGTTTATTGTCTTAATTACTTTATGGTAGATCTCCTTCAACGAGCTCGCAATCATCATCTTCAAGCTCTCAACGGCCGATAATAGGCGGTTTATCATGTCTTCTGAAACACTCTCCTACTTCAGTAAATATGGGTCACTATTGTTAATTTTGTGTTTATTTTAGTTGATTTTGATACTCTGTTTTGCATATGTAGTTTAATTACTTTTGTGAAAAAAATCACTTTTGTTAAAAAAAAGGGTCACTTTTGTGGGAAAAAAAAGGTCACTTTTGTGAAAAAAAAAGGGTCACTTTTGTGAAAAAAAAGGGTTACTTTTGTTGAAAAAAATGTCACTTTTGTAAAAAAAAAGGGTCACTTTTGTGAAAAAAAAAGGATTACTTTTATAAAAAAAAAAGTCACTTTTGTGAATAAAAAAGGGTCACTTTTGTGAATAAAAGGGGTCACTTTTGTGAAAAAAAAAAGGTCACTTTTGTGAAACAAAAAGGTCACTTTTGTGAAAAAAAAAATGGTTACTTTTGTAGAAGAAAAAGGGTCACTTTTATACGAAAAAGGGTCATTTTTCGCAAAATGTTCGATATACAATAAAATTATTGTAAACCGAGGGCATGCAAAAGGGATTGATTTACTATTTGCAACCTCGGCATTCAAAAACAAGGTACAATTATAATTAGCGTAGCTATGAATATTGAAAAGTTAGTAATGAATTGAAAACTGAGTATTAATGCACTCAATTACACAAAAATTAAAGAAACTAGCCCTAGTGCAACAAGATTAAGCAAATCTGCGAATTGCAAGCTCGTGTATACAAATTTGCAACTGAATGGAAGATGTATAGCAGGACTGTACTACACCAATGACAATAACATGTTTTTTATCCGTATGCATTCCTCGCGTCCCCCGAGGCGAATTGGTTCACATGTGAAACGATAAGATTTACTCGTACTAAAACGACAGTCAGATATTTCCTTACTTCATACTCCGTATTTCTTTTTACTCGTAAAGTTGTAAAGTTGTAACACATCCCATTTATTTTCAAATGCCTTTTTTTTTAATTACAAATATCTTCAATGAGTAGTAAGTTAAAAAATAAAAAAAACTTTTACATTATAGAAACATAGATCGCTATTAGGAAAAAAAAAATAAAAAAAATTGAGATGATAAATCTAAATATAATGTTTTTTATATGGATACTATTTTTTCCTTTATTAAATATAAATCACTCAAGTTGGTCAAAGTAAAATAGTACGTTAAATAGTGTAAAAGTTAGAGTACTTCTCCAATTAATAATAAGAAAACAGTGAGTACTCCTCAATTTAATATTGGAAATACCTTCATTTTTTTCTTCTCATTTTCTGTTTTTGATTTTTTGTTTTTTAAAAAATCAAAAATAATTGAAAATAAAAAGTAATGTCAAAGAAGATTAATTAGTCTACTTCTTTTTTTGAATTATTCCATTTAAAACTTAAATATATAGATGTCATCAACATTTTTGGACAGATGTCATCATGTGAACGTTTTATAAGTTTCAAGCTACTATAAATAGAAGGGTAGTATGAAGAAATGATAACACCAAACTACAATAAGAATAAAACGAGTTTTATATTTGTTTTGGGTTCACTTCAATTCAGAGATATGGATAGGGTCTCGTTCAAGCTCGTTGCTTTTGCTTTTTTAGCATTCATGCTGTGTACTGCAACAAGTTAGTTCGTTAATAATTTCCTTTGTTTTATTTGAAATTGTTCGTCAGAATTTTTTATGTTTTACAAAGACACAAATAATACCTTCTTTTTTTTTTTTTTTTTTTTTTTTTTTGCAAATAATGGTACTCCGTAGTAGGGTTTATTTTAATTTTTTTAAAATATATATATACATTAATTGGTTATGAATTTTATTATTATATGAACTCTTTAGATAGTAAACTATACAGTATTACTCTATAGTCCTTACTAATTGTTACATTATTTTGATTTTATAAATTATGCAGCACCGGTTGTTGGAAGGGCGACAAAATCTTCTACTGAAGAACTGGCATTGGCAATGGAATATAAAATGATACCGGAGAAAATGGCAACGAGCAGAGTAGAGCCGAGTATACACCAGACTAACCTGGGAAACCAGAAAACCAAGATGATGAATTCGCAACGAATTGTTGATGTTCTTGAGTCGTATATGAAGAAAGACTTACAGTGCGTGGGAGCAGGCAGGGGCTGTAACATTTATTTTGGACCTTCATGTTGTTCTTTTCCTTTGGCATGTCTTCCACCAGGTATTTTTGGTGGTGTTTGTGTCGGTTAATTAAGATCAATAATCACTATCTTCAACTGCATTAACTAATAATCAGTGTTCAATCTGCTCAAATTGTTTCTCGATGTAATGTTATATACTATGTCATTGCTATGTGTTCATGCTTAGTAGTTTACACAAGCTAATAAGCATAGTTAAATAAAGCATGACAAAAATAAGATTTGTAATCAAGGATGTAATATCATAAATAAATGATGTATTATTTTTCTTCTTGCATGTATGGATTATGAGAGTGTTATCAATTGTACTTTTTCTAATTTCTAATTCTATGCATAATGTCATAACGAACATGAGCAATAGTGTGTTTTAACAATTATTTTTACGTAAAAAAACTTGATATTGCAAAACTAAAATGGAGTCTAACTTTCAAAAAAGGATGGAGTGTTTGAAGAGGTGACCTCTACTTCAAATGACGAATCAGTCTATTATTAGGTCATTAGTACTCGCCCAAATTACAACAAATCATACGGACTGTAATTCGTTTTTATATTTAATCATTTATATGTACTCCAAGGCCTTAACCAATACCATCTCGGATGCATCTAAAAACACTTTATAATAATGATTAACTTAATTGAAAAGTGAGTACTAAGTACTGATGCATTCAATTACACAAAAACCTTGTATTAGTGTAACAAAATTAAGCAAAACTACTGCAAATCGCTAGCTCGTGTACGCACAAAGATTTGCAACTCAATGGAATACGTTGAACTACTAAACCAAGGACAATCACATGTTTCGTAGAAAAAAAAAAGGACAATCACATGTTTTTAATTCGTGCCGAGTAGTTAATGTTCCTCGCGTCGTCCTATGAGACGATATTGTTCACATATTCAGATTTTCTAGAGTGCATCTAAACCCACAGGGTTTATGTATCTAAGAGCAGTAACACTAATTAGGAAAAATATTTCTCCTCATTCTCTCTCTACCCACTTTCTCACTCCTCCCACCAATAGTTTTTTTTTTACCACATCAATGCTTATAAAAAAAAAAAAAAAAAACTCCTCACCACTATCTCTCCTACTATTTCCTATACCCCACTGCAATACACATCGCCTTTTTTAGTTTGGGAGTGGGGCCCATCACGCTACTATTCACCTACAATTCTCTTCATTCTATGAGAAGATTTATTTCTCCCCATGAGGAGAATTAAAACTTCTCATTAATGTAGGTTGAATTTTTTTTTTTTACACCTTTATTTCTTCTGAGGAAGTATAAATCAAGGGTTGTGAGACAATTGATAATGCCTCACAACTATTAAAATAATATAAAAGTGTAAGGAAGAGAGAAAAAGGAGGAGAGAGATAGGAAGAGTGAAAAAGATGGTTAGGCCTCACTAAAACTTTTCAGACACATATCACGTGCAAAAATGGACAAAAAAAATTTGGGGACCACTACCACTGCGTTTATATTTTGTTCGACTAAAACTCCAGTGGAGCTTTTTGAAGTATCACTGAGACTATATTTTGTACTACTGAGAGTGTATTTTGTACTACTGAGAGTGTATTTTGTACCACTGAAACTCCAGTGATATTGTTTGATAATTCAATAAGACAACTTTAAACTGACACATGAAATACCTATATTACCCTTGTAAGACATGATTTTATTGTCTCTCAACCCTCCCTTTATATAACCTCATTTCTTCTCATGTACACTTTTCTTCTCATTAGTGTGAGTGATCTTCATGTAAGTAGGAGGATAATTTGGGGTTCAGTGATACATTTTCTCTCTCTTAATGGTACAGACGTATAGTGATATATTTTTGCAGACTGTTATGCACGTGCCATTAACGTATAAATAGTTGTCTAAATAGTACTTCTTGTGTACTATTATACTTGTAGTGGTACTTTTTGACGTCATATTTTTCATGTTAATTTTTACATTACCACCCAAAAATGTAACCATTTTCAAACTAACAACGCGTTTAATTTTTTATTTTAAATTACCACCTCTTAAATTAAATAAATGCTCATATTACCACTCATTTCAAAAATCTGGTAGATTTTCCGTCTGTAGGCCCCACCTAACACTTTCTTCGACCCTTTTGACGAATTTTTTCCCCAATTTTTCTCTTTGAAAATGCTCTCTAAACTTTAATTCACATTTCCTTCACCAAATTTTACCAAATTTCAAAGAGAAAAATGTGAATTGAAGTTAGAAAAGCGTTTTAAAAGAGGAAATTTGCGGAAAAAATCAGTCAGAAGGATCAAAATAAGCGTTAGGTGGGCCCACACACGGAAAATCCACCAAATTTTTGAAATGGGTGGTAATCTGAGCATTTATTTAATTTAAAGGGTGGTAATTTAAAATAGAAAACTAAACGGGTGGTTAGTTCGAAAATGATTACTTTTTTAGGTGGTAATTTAAAATATTTCCTACTTTTCACCCTTAGGTTCCCATTATTTACAAAAATTCCACCTTATTTGCATACTAAATAGATTGAGCCTATGCGCCAAGAGTTTTCCCATTTTTGAAACAATAAGATCAACTAATTTCGTTCTCTAAAACTGAAATACTCCCTCCATTTCTTATTTCTTGCAACATTTGTCATTTTGGGGTGGTTCACATTTGTTGCAACAAACTTATTTTTTTCCTTATTTGAATTTTTTTTTTCAAAATGACCAATATATCCTTACTTAAAATTTTTAACACATAATGCTACATATAATTATATTCCATTATAACCTTAATGTACAGTAAATTGATTATCTAAAATAATCAAATCCAAATAATCAAACCCATTATATTTCTCTCTCCTCCTTTGTCTATCATTTCATCATCTTCATCTATCATAATCAAATTCCAAACTACCCTTTAAGTGGGCTTCAGATATGGTGTTGGTGAGTTTGGTGGTTCGTTGGTGCTTTTGGTGGTGTCGTGGGTGGTTCTGGTGGGTCGTCGGTAGGTTTTTGTGGTTTCTTCGGAGGTTTTTGTGGTTTGTGGTTTCGCAGGGATGGAGGAGGATCATGGGGTTGGTGGCGTGGGTCTTAGAACTGGTTGTTTTCAGCAGTGTTGGTGGTGTCGGTGGGTCTAAATCTAGTAGTGTCGGTGGTGTTGGTGGTTTCGCAGGGGTGGAAGAGGGGTTTTGGTGGTTTTGTGGGTTTGGTGTGGTGGGTCTGGGTGGTGGTTGTGGGTGGCGTGGGTTCTAGTTCTGGGTGGTTTTCGGGTAGAAGTGGTTTTGTTGGGTGATTTTGGGTGGTTCTAGGTGGCTTCGGGTGGTTCTGGGTGGTTTTGTTAGTGTAACTAGGTGGTAGCTTTTTGTTGTCGGTGGTTTTGGGTGGCGTGCGCGTTCATCAGTGGTGGTGTTGGACTTTTAGTTGTTTAATTAATTATTCACCCTCTCTCCTTAATTACATTATGGAAAAAGATATATGCAGCCCTAAGAGCTGCATATAAGAACATAAAAATGAAAAGAATTGACAATAAATATACAATTATTACACTGATTTACTCGTGAATTGTTGATAAATTCCCAATTTAATACTAAAAAAGGAAAGATATTAAATGCTTATATGCATCCCTAAGGACTGCATATAGCATTACCCTTACATTATTTACATGCCATTACTTTTTATTAATTATGCTTAAAAACTTTTGACTTGGGAAGCGTGCAACCCCCTTTGTTGCAAGAAATAAGAAACGGAGAGGGTATGTGAATAGGACACGAATTTTAAGAACTGGAGAGAGATAGAGAAATATAAAGATAGGGATTTATGTGATAAGGAGAGAGAAAAAGTGAGACAATGTATACATTAGAAAATATTGCAGTACAATATTTGAGAAACTTCCTTAAATGATATGTTGCATTGTTGCAATATTTGTGGAATAGAGGAAGTAGTTTTTACGCGGTACTTCCTCTTTCTTTATTTCTTATAATTGCAAGTTGTAACTCATCTCACACTAGTCTATAATGTCCTTTTTCATTTAAAAATACTTTCTCCATTTTTTTAGTTGCATCACTTTTATAATTGTGGACTTCGAGGTTATGCATGTTTAGAGTACAAAAAGATAGATAGAGAGAAAAAATAAAGAGGAGATAATTTATAAACTAAAAGGGAAAGTGGTTTGATGCATCTAAATTAAACCTTCCATAGCTAATTAAAAAGTGATGCATCTTCCTTTGTTTCTTTCTACTTGATACATTTCTTAGTCATTTTTGTGAATCTATAAATTCAATCATTAATATCATTAATTACCGATAAATAAAAATATAAAAAATAATTTTAAAAATATATATTGTGCAATTCTAACAAGATTCCATGCCACATGATGACTATTTTTTTTATTATTATTATTATGTATATAAATCACAAAATAGTAAAAACGTATCAATTAAAAAAGGAGGAAGAAGTATCTTAAATTAGCAATAAGTTAAAATTGTTAAAATTTTGTATTATGAAAGTGATAGAGAATATAAATCGATTATTAGCTTTAACCAAACTTTTTGTTAATTTGGTCATTTAACATGGTATCAAAAGCCATCCACTACTAAAAATTAAGGTTTTTGCGACCGCCTCTAATAATCGCAAAAAATAGCAAAAACGGTCGCAATTCATTTTTGCAACCGTCAACGACTTAATGATCGTAAAAGGGTGGTCGTTATTTCCTTGGTCGCAAAAAAAAATTATTACGATCGTTTGACGGTCGTAGATATATTGCGACCGTTTTTAATATTTTCAACGACCACAAGGAAAACGGTCGCAAAAATTAAAATTTATGACCGTTTTTATAAGCAGTCGCAATTTTAAGAATTAACGACGGCTAAAGGCGGTCGCTAAAAAGTTTAAAAAAAACAAAAAAGAAAAGAAAAAAACCCACTCACATCCTGTACCCCGCAACCAGTTATCCCACCACCCAAACCAACTGTACCCAACGCTACTACCCACCACCATCAGTCCATCACTTCCCACCCAAATCACCACCGTACCACCACCCTAAAAAACACGGACCCACCATCACCGCCCACCCAAACAGCTACCACCGCCACTTCACCTCAACTCGAAACACCCTCAACACACAACCAATTGCCTCTCACCCGAAACACCCTCAACCCACAACCACCAACTGCCTCTCACCCGAAACCACCTTTACCCACCAAACACTTGATCTGACCCAAAACCATGACCCTTACCCAGTACCCACCACCACCGGCAACAAAATTATCAAAAATTGAAAAAAAAACCCACAAAATCAGAAATAAAACAATCAAAATATAGAAAATTACCCATAAATTTGAAATTAAACAATTATACAAAATACAAAAGATTACCCATAAATTCGAAATGAAATAATAATGAAAAATTTTCAAAATTTATAAACAAAAATTACAATATAACAATTATACATAATCAGAAATAATTAGAAACAATAAAACTAGATCTACAATCTAATAACTAATTTAAATATCATAGAAAACCTTGACTTGTTTTAGGTTCGTTCTTGTTACGGTGGCTCGAGTGTGCAGTCGTGATAGCAAGCGTCGGCATCAACACCAAGCAAATTTATCAACATCTGATTCTTCAATTCTTAGGAAAGAGATGGAGGATGAGGAAAGAGAAAGGAAGTAGAGGAAAGAGAAAGAAGAGAGGAAAGAAATCAAAGATTTAGAGGAGAGAGGAAAAAAATGGAAGAGAGGAGAGGAAAGAGAAAGAGGAGCGGCGTGAGGGATACGGAGTAGTAAATTAGGGTTGGGTGAGATGGTGTCATTTTATACCCGATTTTTTTTATAAAAAAATAAGCTTTTTGCGAGCGTCTTTGACAGTCGCAGATTATGATATTTACGACCGTCTCTATGACAGTCGCAGATTATGACATTTACTACCGTCTCTATGACGGTCGCAGATTATGATATTTACGTCCGTCTCTATGACGGTCGCAGATTATGAATTTTACGACCGTCTTTGACGGTCGCAAACGGTTTATTTTAGTTTAGAATTATTTTTAATTGTTCAAATGTCCTAGCGACCGTCTAAAAGGCTAAAAACGGTCGCAAAACTGTCGCAAATTTACGACCGTTGTCAAAGCAGTCGTAATATTGCGACCGCATAAAAAACAGTCGCAATATTCATATTTTGCGACCGTTTTTCAGACGGTCGTAAAAAAACGGTCGCAATTTAGCCGAATTTTAGTAGTGATCGAGACAATAAGTGGGTCCATGTTACATCCCCACTTCAAACTCAATAGGCTCTCATGTGACGGGATTTGATACAGACTATATATGTAGTATAAAAGTCAAAATGTTACAATGAATACGTAGACCCCCTTAGTGTCACAATGGCTTTTGATGTGTAGTATAAAAGTATAAATCAATCTAAAGCTATATTTAACATGGTAATATATATATAGGGAGGATGTGTTTGGAGTGGCTTGGCCACAATTTGTTGCTTAGTTACTTTAGCTTTCAAAAAAAATGGGCTTGACCCACCCTTTGCATCAAAAAAAAAAAAAAAAAAAAAAAAGTCTATTAAAAAAAAAATCCCATACTCTTAAGTCTAGCCCATAAATTCCTAAGATTTTATGATATGCCTAATTAACATTGCATTTAATTTGAGATGGATGAAATATTGTGTTAAATATGTACATAATATAATTTCTATTGATTTTTGCGGTGATCAGAATTGGAATTCGAAATATATTCAACATGTTTTATTTGATTTGGTTTTATCTTAGTTAATATTTGTTATCAAACGACTTTGATAACGATAATATTTCTTTTTCTCCACTGCTTTGTAGATGCTCACTTTCTAAATAAGAATGTTTTAAATTGGATGCATAACTTATTTAACACAAACTTTTAAATAAAACGGATGTTCAGTAAATTATTGAACATCCGTTATAAAGTTACTATAAAAGGCGCAAAAGTTACACTAAAACGCACAATGGTTACTGTGACATATATAAGAGTTATTTATGCTTCATTGATAAATTTGATAAAAGTGATACTTAAATTGACAAAAGTGACACTAAATTTGACAAAAGTGAACTCGATGTACAGTAAATGACTGAAAACCGGGTGTATACAAAAGTAATTGCTTATTTAATTGCAGCCACCTTATTTAATTGGGCTAAGCAGCCCAAGTCCAGTAGACCAGTACTTAGATATGGAGTCATTTAAACTTTAAAGCAAAAGTGCAGAACAAAGAAAATGATAGAGTATAAAACATATTCTTGGGTCTCAACCATCAATTTAAGCGTTTGGTTAATTTGTTCCTTTAACATGATATTGGAGCCAACGTGAGTACGTGACATAGAGGTCACGGGTTCGAATCTCATCCACCCCTCTTTCAAAGTGGAATTAATTCACGCCAGGTATGAATGGGCCTGTGTAATTCTTGAAATATGTGTTTTTATGTGTTTTTTTTTAACACACGATGTTCAATTGTAATTTGTGATTGTGATTCTCTGTAAATAGTTGGAATGATATGTGAAGCAGGATTATTAGTTGGAAATTTGTTTATTGTTTTGGACTTACCGTGTTTGACATGGATCCAAAACTAGTTAAAGTGCCAATTTAATTGATAGAAAGCACTATTCTATACCCAAATCCAAATTAGTTGAAAGTTCACCACACTCACTCTCTTTATTTATTATTTGTACTTGTATTAAAGCGCCAATTTGGGCTAGAAGCTAAGACAAGTCAATAAAAGGAATTGCAAGAGTAGAGGGCACATAGAATATGGTCGGTACGGTGCAAAGAGGGACCCGCGTTTGGATATTCATTTCAATAATAATACGAACCACTTATTTATCTCAAATCTTTATCCTAAAATCTTAATTGAATTTCATTTCAATAATAATACGGACCACTAATTTTTCTTAACTTATTATCCTAAAATCTTAATTATTGCATTTCTCTTGTTGGTAGGTAGAAATTTATTCATTGGTCTTGTGGAAAAAGCGTCCAAAGTTTGGAGAAATTTCCCAATACTAGACTTGGTCTACGAGTAGTTGTATAAATGATAAGGTAGCTGTGGTTCTAGTCGTATATCATACATAACATCTCATCATAATCCGGCTCCTTAAAATTTTCAGATTAATTAATAGAAAAGGTTTATCATAGAACAAATCCTTGGTAAGATGTTCAAGTCGGCCACTCAACAAGATCATGGTGATATTGGAGTTGATGGATTGCAAAATAAGGTGAGACAACTTATAGAAGGGAAAAAATATTTCCTTATTCTAGATGATTTGTGGAACGAAAGGCGTGAAGAGTGGCTTAAGTTGAGGGAGTTCTTGCAAGTAGGTGCAAAAGGAAGCCGAGTTGTGGTGACTACACGCTCAAAAAAGGTGGCAGGAGCTATAGGTGACGATCCAATGCACGCATTAGAAGGTTTGTCCGATGATGATTCTTGGCATTTGTTTAGGAGAGTAGCATTTAACCAAGGGAGTGGAGAGGTTGATGATGACCTTGCGGACATTGGTAAAGACATTGTGAAAAAATGTGCAAATGTTCCCTTGGCTATAAGGGTCGTAGGGAGCATGTTGTATGGTCATGATAAAAGTGAGTGGAAATTATTTCAGAGAATTAAGCTGTCTGAAATAATGGGCCGAAGTACTGAAGAGAGTATAATGCCAATATTGAAGTTTAGTTATCATCAACTTAAACCACAGTTAAAGAGTTGTTTTAGCTACTGTGCACTCTTCCCTAAGGATTACCAGATTGAGAAAGAGTTGTTGATCCGTCTATGGTCTGCACAAGGCTATCTTGACAATCATATGCAAAGTAGAGAAGATGTCGGTGAGGAGTATTTTTCTATTTTATTGCAGAGATGCTTTCTCCAAGATATTAAACATGATGAATATGGTGAAATATCTTCTTGTAAAATGCATGATTTGATTCATGATCTTGCACAAGAAGTCGCAGGAAAGGAGTCGTACTTTATGGAGGAAACTAGCAAAAGATCTGATGGAAAAACTCGTCATCTCGCTACGAGCTCTCTCTTGCTTAATCCAAGTGATGTTCTTGACAAGTTTAGGGGATTGCGTACATTTCTTCGGCCTTCTTATCGTAAACTGGATTGTGAATCTCAAGTGTCCACAATCATAGCAAAATACAGGCGTTTGCGGGTATTGGACTTGAACATGGTTAGGATAAAAGCATTACCAAGAACAATAAAGAACCTTTTACATTTAAGGTATCTTGATCTCTCTCACAATGAGCGGTTGAAGACACTTCCTGAGTCAATCACTAGACTCTATAATTTGCAAGTGTTGAGTTTAAGGTTCTGTTTTAACCTAGAAGAGTTGCCCAAGGACATGAGGGAACTAGTCAATCTTAGGCATCTGGATATACATGGCTGTGATGGGTTGAGTCATATGCCTGCTGGAATGGATAGTATGACTGGTCTGTGTACCCTTACAAGGTTTGTATTGGGTTCAGAAAGTTCAAAGAAAGCCCAGATTGGTCAACTTAGAGATTTGATGCCTCTAATCAACATTAGAGGTACACTTGCAATAGTATTTAAAAAAGGATACGCATACGATTTGAGCGAACAGGGAGCATATCTATTAAACAAGGAGAATATCAAGAGTTTATCGATATTCTTAGTAATCAGGATTGTCACGGAGGCCAAGTTTCGAAAGAACAAAGCAATAGGACTCCCAGTCAGTTCTCCTCAGATATTTCAACAACTTCTTCCTTTGTTGCACCTTTGCTTGCAATCCTCGACGAGAATGCTTATCCTAGAACAAAATAACAACATAATTGTTGGCTGTCAAATATATTCCACATCAAGTGAAAGATTACGTCACTTGTTTACTTATTCATATCAAGCTGTCAAAAACTACAGCGGTGATTAAGAAAATCCAAATAAATCAAATAAATCAGAAATGTTGAGGGTCCATAACAGAGTACTTACCTTTTTGTGCAAAACAGCTGACAAGTGAAGTATTTCTGTTGTAAGTTGTGCAACTGCAAAGTACAAAGAGAAAAATGATGATCAATTGCTATGGAAAAATGAAAATGGCAATCATGAAAACAACAGAAGTTTCAGGATCTTGATTTTATACTGGGGTATATACTTGAGCTGAACAGAACATTATAATATGTTTCCCAAGCTCAAATAAAAACTAAGGTTTCCACAGTTACGGACTTACGGTCCATGCTAACAATTTTCATTGACAAGAAATTTCACATCCCAGATGTCAGAACAAAATAAAACTAGCATTTTGTCATTGACTCTAAGAGTGAAGCTGCACCTAAACACAAGATATAGCCAAACCAAGATGAATATGATCCGATCAATACAACACCCTATGAAATCCAAATTCCATCATTCTTTTACACCAATAGCTATAGCAACAAGACTGAAGACTCACAAGTAACCAACCATTTCAATAATTATGACAAGATCAGGCAACACCTACAAAAAATAGAAAATGACTTATTACACAAAGCTGATAGCATTGTGCAATCCATTGGATCAATTCGTGCACATGAAAAGGTACATCCAGAGGCTCCATTCAGAAGTGAGGAGATGTGAGACCAGCATCATCATGGCTAGTAAAAGAGCAAGTGGAAAACAAAGTATAATAGTGAGCCAAGATCAGGAAGGATCTGACGCCAAGGGCCATCAACTTGAACACCCAACTAGATGTTCCATGACAAGGTTGCCATCCTTTCAATGTAGGGTTTTAGATAGTATTTGCCACTTTGAATCTCTTTCTTTCACATCCTTTTGTTATTAATAATCATAACTGTGACAAAAATTCAAGGAAGAAGAAAGAGAATTCAATCTGACAACTATGAACATTACAGAAATTAGAAGATAGTTATCATGCTTTCGAGTGGCCTCATTCACTCCCAAAGCTTCTTCAATATTCTGGATGCCTTTCTACATGCCAACTCTACTTTATTTTTAGGAAAGCTATATCTCCTCTTCCTCTAACAAGCCAACTACCTTCCTCTTCAAGATACAACTACATAAATTAGACTAGCTATTATGTTCCACCCTTGGGTTGATATAATGTCCGTAACTTTGCTTTCCTTTCCTTTCTCCCTCTCTCCTTCCCTTAACGGCTTAACCACTTCCCCCTTTGTGATTTCAGACAGGATGTTTTTGATTTGTTGTCTTTCCACCAGTTTCTAATGTGAGTACAATTTTTCTACACCCCAATTTGTTTCCTTCTCATTATTCCTAACCACTTTTCCCTTTGTGATTTCAGTCAGAATGCTTTTGATTAGTGGTCTTTCCACCAGTTTCTAAAGTGAGTACAATTTCCTCTACACTCCTAATTTGTTCCTTCTCCGTATTCCTACTTAACTACTACAGTAGGTTTAACTGAAAGGTCATAGATAACTGGTGGTGAAGGCTGCCTATATCCCTTCAAATAACCAAAACTAAGGAAATAATTCCCTTCCTAGGCAACACTAGCCACTAAAAATTACATTATTATTTCAACCATTTGAAATCATAATGATATATCCCTCTTAGAAGCTATTTTTCTATGGCTGCAAGTCCAACCATTTTGGTCAGGTTCATGCAAGATGATAAACTGATGGTGGTGGTGGTTTTTCATTGCTTTTTTCAAAGATATTAAAATTAAGGAAACTTTTTAAAGCCATCTTTTAACAATAAATTAAAATATAACACTATCATGAACCCAGTTATTGTATACAATGTCCTATTTTCACCAATTCTATTATCTTGGTTGGATGGTGTTGAACTATTGACAACCATAAATTATTATCATGTGGGATATTGTAAGATTTGTCATTTTGCATATTTTCAAATTGTAACTTTTTAACATATGAAGCTAAAGTTAATAATGGTCAAAGGTACACATTAGAAACCACCAATAAAAGTGTATTCCAACTACAATAACAGAGCTACAGAAGTATGTTCTATGGGGAGGTACAGGTATCACTCATACGTACAAAGGGGGACAATGAAGAAAGAACAGAGAGTCAAAAAAAAAAAAAAAATTAAAAAAAAGTAAAAAAAAAATTAATTAAAAAAAAAAGATAGTGAGGCAGAGGAAGGCAGTAGAACAGAATGGAAGATAAAGATTAAAGAGAGAAACGAGGTCCATTGGAAGTGTCAAAAACTATAAACAGTAATTTCGACCTGAATACAAACAATAAACCATTTGTCTTGTGACAATTCTCAAAACCCAAAAACTATAACTATAACTAATAACCCTTCCAAAAGAATATGTAAACCTCGAATCGAGAGAAACTCTACTGTCTCTACATTGCCAAAAAAGAAGTAAATAACTCACTGAACTGAAGCAGAAGTGGGAGAGAATTATATTGGGGTGAGAAAGAACTAACCAGGTTTCTTTTTGGACCTTTCAAGACATTAACTAGCCCACTTTCAAGTATCATATTTCACAATCAATCATTATATAGCTAAAATGATTGGCAGCCTGGTATCCATTGAGAAGAAAGATCATGTACTACATTTCTCAAGAATGTCAAAGACCATTGTTCCCAAAAAAAAAAAAGAAAAGAGGAGGGGGGGGGGGGGGGGGAGAGACAATTATTAGTGCTGCCACACATGGATGAAAAAGAGGAACATGTACCTCACATTTGGTATTTTTCACTTTTAAGGACCTCTCACTTTTTTTCACCATTAAAGACCTGAGGGTAGAAATCAGGCCACTTAACTCATCTTTAGTTAGCCTTTTGATAAACAAATGCCAAGTCCTTGTTAGGATTTATTAAAAAATAAAAAATCTCAAATCCTTGCAAGAATTAAAAAAAAAAAAAAAAATAATAATAATAATAATAATAATAATAATAATAATAATAATAATAATAATAATAACTGTCATGTTTCTTCTATAACTGGAGGATGCCCTTGTCCACCAATAATCACCTCTCCAACTCCACCCACCTGAGTGCATGAAAGAAACCCAAAACCCACAATTTTCTCCCTCTTGTTTGCAGCTTCAATATTGTTTTTATAATTTCAGCCAGCAAACACCCATTGCTACCCAGAGCACCACCCATTGAAAATATCAACTAATATATCCACACTTTTTGGAATCTTTTAATTATTAATTGTTAACTTAAAATAAATAAATAGATTTCTCTTCTAAAATTTGCCCACTCCACCGTCTTCTACACCTTTATGAGCTGATGTGATCAGCCAACATGCCCAACACCACCTTACTATCTTCTTTCATGAATGACAATGTATCAATTATAATTCAAAATCAAGCCCAAATAATAAAGAATCAAATTGGAAAGAAAGAAAGAAAAAAAAAAAAAAAAAAACTAACTCACTCAAAGATTTCATAATCAAATTACCTCAATAAAATTTTAATCGAAATTGACTCTCTATCCAGCCTCTTCTGCACCATCATTGAAGGATTTTTCACAAACTCAAACTCGGGAGCTCTATTTATGCTCCAATTTCTTGTACCTTTTTTTTGGGTGTTGTTCGAGGGTTTAATGTAGTGTCATATAATCGATTTTCTATTTATAATTATTTTCTGTTTTGATTTCTTAAATAGTACTCATAAATGACTAATATGAAGTAAGAGCTGAGATTTGAGAATGGTGGGTGGAGGTGGCGGAGGGGAAGGTTGCAGAGGAGAGGTGGAGGAGCAATAAGCTTATGAGTTTCCCAAAAATATTGTGCATGTCATCATTATTTGTGCAGACAAAGGGCCCACATTTAACTACACTTGGGTTAAAGTTAGTTAACTTTCACCGGAAAAGGGGTTTGAGGTCCTTAAAGGTGAAAATATAAGTGCAAGGTCCATAACTGGGAAAAATATAAAATGTTAGGTCCCAGTGTTATATGATTATTTAACACTCACATTTGTTAACAAACGGAGGGAGTCCCACAATTGAGTAAGCAACTCATGTATATGATTATTTATAAGCCATCACATTAAAACCAATAAACACCACCAAAATATAGGGCGGAAAAAAGATTTTCGGAAAGATAGTCCATTCTTTCCCTAATAGACATCATACAAAACTAATTCCCACCATATATTGGCTGCAATGTAATATCAGCACAAAAATCTATTACTCGTTTTAAAAGTCTGTGACTTAACGATAGAGTTGGTGCCCTTGAATTTTAGTCCATGAAAAAGGGAATTAGCTATAACAGACCGTACAGGACCGTTGATATCCAAATAAGTCTAAAATCAGGGAAGCATTATGATTAGCCACACAAGGAAGAAAGGAAGTCCGAGACGGTATGATAAATGAAATACTCCGTAATATATATATATATATATATATATATATATATATATATATATATATATAAGTAAATAAATCAAGTTATCCTGCTTACTTTGAACACGTGTTGATCCACAATCTGACTCATGCATTTTAAACTCATCCCGCACCTTTTTCAACTCAAGCTTTAATTTCTCCTCTGCAGACATGTTATCTGGATGAAAATACTGCAAAGAGAACAATGAATTCAAATCATTATATTGAAAAGATAAATTGTATGATGTCTATCAAGAGTAAAGAAAATAGGCAGTATGATTTCAAACAGGTTTTTAGCAATATTTCTATCCCTAATTATTGGTTCATGGTCAGATGTCAACATCATAATGAACTCGAATAAATATGAAGTTTTTAATAGAATGCTCTTAATTTTCAGAGTACAAGTAAAGGAGTTCCCAGCCATAGGTGTGCCATCAGAAACGAACATGGAAGCTAAACAGAAAAACAAATAAATAACATACTCTTTAATGTGATATACTACATATAAACAAACAGTCTGCCCCATAAATCTCACTAATTTTATAATCCAAAATATTAAGCAGGCACAGTTTCATCCTAGAGAGATAAAAGCCAACCCCTCATACTGATCAAATTGGATCTGTAAATGAAGCTACACCCCACAGGCGTTCACATGTGTTATATTGTGGAGACTGATGAAAAAGTGATGGCATCCCCTCTCTAGTATGTCAACTAGCATCATTCGTTGTATCAAACTGATTAAAATATGATACATAATTGTATAATAAATTAATAAGGCATGTTTGCAAGTTAAACTGACAAACAAGCATACAAATATATTTCATAATGATAACAGAAATTTCAGAGAGGAGACACAGAGGAAAGTAAAAGGGGTCTCATAAAGGAATCACTACCTTTTCAACTAAATGCTCTTGTGGAGGATACTCTGTGAAATTAGATGGAGACAACAAACCCAGACTCTGGACTACGGGAAAAAATGCATTCGTCAGCACATTACAACAGAATAGCAAAATGAGCTACTTTAAAATTAAGTACAACATTACTTTAACCAATTATAATGGACAAAATACTTCATGTTTCAGACAATCCTCCTCTGAAGAATATTAAATAATGCAAATTACAACCATGCAGATTATAAATGTAACTAAAAACACTTCACAAACAGATCAAACACAAGTTGATTTGTACACAGCTAAGAGAGCTTCAAGGTAGCCCATTCATTCAGGCTTGCAGCATCCACTACATCGTCCAAGTGTTAAATAAATACTCTATATGGCATAATTTGTTGGATATCATTACTTTAAATGGTGTAAATTTTCAGAAATTATTAGTGGATTCTCTCTGAAAATAAAACAAGATGAGATTATATGATATTACCAAACAGAGAGCTTCAAAAACACTTACAAGGCATATAAACACTACTCTTATTTGCTACGTCCAAAAACAATAACTTTAATATGCAGGTTCCCATTAGGATAACAAAGCAAAACTAAGGGTTCGACAATTGACATTACAATAGAGTGTGGCCAATGATGAGTAAATGCACAGAAGACAACATCCTTGATCCATCACACTCAAGACTTTTCCTTTCATATGATCATTCAAAAGCAAACAATCTTATCTTAAACCCAAACTTAGCATCATCCCCTCCATGTCTGCTAAAAGCATGAACATAGAACCTAAAGTCCCCATTTCAAGAAGAGAGCTTTAACCCCAAACATCAAACAGATCAAATATGTTGACTGCCTTCCATGTCCACAAAAGGATTTCACTTCCTCTAGCATTTCATACTTTTCTATTTTATAACACATCTTAGCCTAGAATTATCATGCCAGGCCTTCGATGCTTAAACCAAAAATAAACTAAAATTATATTTTCCACCCACCTACCCCAACTTATCCCACACCCAAGATGAACATAAGAGATAGAGTACAATGAAATGTTAAACTTCTTTAAATACTTAGATCAAGTCCGCGGATTGAGAATAAAACAACATCATTATAACGTAAGCATTCAATCAACGCGCTTGAGCTCAGCAAATTTGCTCGGATAACTAAAACAGCAGGGTATTAAGTCATTTCTTCAAGCTCAAACAAAAACTATGAATTCATCCTTCAATACACAACACTACAAAATAACAACCCCAAAACCAAGCAAAGTTCATTAGCAATTTTTTTCCACAAGAACATTACAGATCAACCCCTTCTTAGTTTGTGATTACTATACCCTTGATGATAGAAATCCTGGGATTCACACCAACTTAACTATCATGTAAAATAATAGACATAACATTCAACACAAAATCGCAATCACATTACAAAAAACACTAGTCTTCAAAGAATAAAAACATTATGAATGAGAGAAAGTGACTCACTGGGAGCATTCTTGAGCCTATTATCCTTGCTACTATTGTCAAGAGACGAAAGACTCTTCCTCAACTCTGCAAAATACTTTCCACTCTGATTGGATTGATTCTCCTCTTCTTTCTTAAGCTTCTTCAACCTCTCACCCAATTCCGAAATCGAAAACCAACTCTCCTCCTCTCCATCCTTGTTCTTCCCCTTCACCTCAGGCCTCAGCTCCCTCAGCTTCTTCCCCAACTCATCATGAGTGTACATATCAAACAACTCGAAACCAAACTCATCGTCGCCTTTGCCATCCCCAGCTTCCCCTGCCTTCATCTCCTTCTCCTTCATCTCCTTCCCAAACACCGCCATTGGCAATATCTCACTCGACCCACCAATCACCTTACCAACACCACCAACTCCGCCGCTTCCACCGCCACTTCCGGGCATTATCGGCTGCATTTTAAGGCTTTGCTTATAGTTATTCAACGACATCTTATCACTCGTATTACTCCCATCTACTCCTGTCCCCTTCATTTTTCGCAAACTCTCTCTAATTGTATCAAACGATAAACTCACACTATTTTTCCCAGCATTATCATTAGGGTTTCCGGCATTTCCGGTCTGAAACATCGTCTGCTTCTGCTGCTGCTCGAAACCCAGCGGCGGAACCGTCGATCGACGGCGAAACTCCGACAAATTCTTCTTAATTTCATCAAATGAAGCAGCATTTTTGGGATTCAAAGACCCTTGAGGATTTACCCCAATATTCGAATACTTCAAACCCGAAGATTGCTGCTGTTGTTCTCGATGTTGTTCATGGTGTTTCAGTTTGGATTTGATACCATCAAAGTAAGATGAAAAGGGGTGCGGCTTGTCGGGGGGATTACCGCCGCCACTGTTGTTGTCGTCGGAGGAAGAAGATGAAGAAAAGAGGAGAGAGAAAGTGAGGTTAGATGAAGTGGATTTGAGGAGGAATTGAGAGGGTTTATGGTGGTGGGATTTAAGGTGAAGAGCTAAAGACGCCATTGATGAATGCTTGAGTAGTAGTAGTAGTAGCAGCAGCAGGAATAAACCCTGAGATTTTGGGGAAGAATGAAGGGTTAACCTCAGAAATTGGAAGCCATTGAAGAAGCTAACAAAGGTGGTTTGCTGAAGTTGGGTGCATTTTAATTTAGGTGGGCTTGTGTTTGTGTTGGGTTTTTCTTAGCCTACAATGTTTGTTGGGTTGCTTGAAGCTTGACCCAAATGTTTTGGTTGGACTAAGCAAGAGTTAGCAAAATTGATCCAAACAGAAAAATAATAATAATAATAAGGATTTTTTCACATTTGCTACCACCTAAATCACCTAGCTTTAGATTTGCTACCGTTTTAAAAAAAAAATTTACTATGCTACCGCCTAAATTAGAGTTTGTTAAATATCACTACCAGTTAACGGGAATCCGTTAGGATTTCCGTTAAGTTTCTTAAGTTTATTAAAAAAAAATTAAAAAAAAAAGAAAAAAAAAACCCAGCCACCCCACTGCCAACGACCCCCATCCCCTCAACTGCCAGTCTGCCACCCTCCCCCTTCCGGCGGCCGGCGCCAAAAGATTCAGCCGGCGGCGACCTCACCTCATCCCTTTTCCCCACCCACTAAGCCAACCCCTCTCCCTATCCCTCACCCACGAAGCCAACCCCACCACCCACGAAGCCATCCCCCACCGAAATCAGCCCCCCTCCCCGTTACCCCACCGGAATCGAACCCTAAACCCGAAACCACCCCCAACCCTAAACCTGAAGCCACCCAAGTGAATTGAGGGTTTGTGAATTAAGGGTTTGCAAATGTGGTGGTTTAGGGTTTGTGAATTGGGGGTTTGCGAATATGGTGGCTATGGTGGTGTTGCAGGCTTCTGCGAAATGGTGGCTGCGAATTGAGGAGGGACTGCGAAATTGGTGGCGGAGCTGGTGTTGCGAGTGGGTGCGAATTGGTGGTTGCTGAAGGTAACGGGGAGGGGGACTGAATTTAGTGGTGGTTGGCTTCGATGGGTGGGGGAAAGGGAGTGGGGGGTTGGCTTCGTGGTGGGGGAAAGGGATGGAGGTTAGCTTCGTGGGTGGGGGAAAGGGAGGTAGGGTCGCCGGCGACGGCCGTTGTTTTGGGCATCGGCCGCAGGCATAGGGGAGGGGGAGGGGTGGCAGTTGAGGGGAGGGGGTGGTAGTGGGGTGGCCGGACGGTGGTTCGGCCCCACTGGCGGAAATTGTAACGGTGTAAGGCATGGGGTAGTAATTTCTAACAAACTCTGTTTAGGGTGGTAGCAAAGTTAAAAAAAATTTTAAAACGGTAGCAAATCTGAAGTGAGGTGTTTTAGGTGGTAGCAAATGTGAAAAAATCCTAATAATAATAATAATAATAAAACATTGAGGATGGTGCATTAGTTGTAAATTTTCATCTCTAGAGTGTACCCTTGCTATTGTGCAAGATTTTATATTAATGACGAGTACAATACAATATGTGAATAGAAAAGTTTATTGAGAAAGTCAAAGGTTGCTATATACACTCGAATGCACGATATATTTAGATAATTTTCTTACTTATTCTGATGATTAAATGAGCAAAAAAAAAAAAAAAAAACTTACTTGAGGGGCACCCAGATACATATAACAATTTTTTGTTAGAAAATTATTGGTGCATGTATTATGTATATATTGGTTATATATTTTTAGAGCTATACCCAGTTAATTCCCCTGATAAACAAAATTTGCTTATCTGGGGGTATAATTGTCTTTTCACGTATCAGTGGAGGGGTATATGCGTCTTTTCATGTACTAGTTGAGGGGTATGTGTGTAATTTCTTCACCAAACAGTATAAGTAAAAGGCAAACAGTGATTGGACAACTCACCAAAAATACTAAATAAATGACCCTGCTTTTTCAATATATTTACAAAAATGGCATCAGATTAACAAAAATTCATTTATCTGGCAGATTAACTTATATTTTCCCATATTTTTATGACAATGCATGTTTTATAATTGTGGATTGGGGTTTTAGCACTTTCTTGTTAAAAGTGACTCTTAAATTAACTATATATATTTGTTTGTTAAGGTTCGATGTTATTTGATGCAAAATTTTGAATTTTCAAGTGAGACCTTCTTGATATTATTTTTTTAAAAAAAACATATTTTTAACACATCATTTTTATACAGTATCATTTTATTTATAAATTATTAAAGATTAATATTTGATACCATGAAAGAATCGAATTTAAATAATTTTAGGAATAGATTTATTATTAACAATGTTGTACATGACTATATAGTGCATTACTATTATACTATTATAGCAGCATGAATTATTTAAGGCATGTTCACATTTACTAAATTGAAATGAACTAATTGAAACTGAAATGAATATTTTATGAGAAAAAGAAATTAGGAATTAAACTAAACTAAACTGAACTGATCGGATCTAAATTGAACTGAAATTAAGCTGAAGTGAACATACCCTTATGTTAAACCTCGAATTTCGTAAGTTGTAGTAGCTATATCCAACCTAAAAGAATGAAGGGCACATAATTACTTCTTTTATCCAAGTAAAGAGTTAAAGAGGAGGGAAAACTGAGCGATTTCCGTAAATAATGCTAAAATAAAAAATATTTCCGTGTGTACGTTGCTTTAAAAAAATATTTCCCACCATACCGTCCACGTAGGCTCGGATTTTTGGTTTGTTTTTTTGGCTATTAATAAACCGCTAATAATGATTGCGGTTCTACACAAATTAGAACCGCTAATGGTATCACGGTATGGTTGGTATTAGCGGTTCTATTTGAAGAACCTAAACATAAAGCCTAATAAGTTACTGAGTATTTTAACTATAAACCGCTAATGACATTAGCGGTCCTTTTTTAAAATCCGCGCGCTATTGTTATTAGCAGTTTATAGCCTCGGATTTTACAACCCTACACTAATCCTATGTGTACGGTATCACGGAAAATAGTTTTAAAACTGACATATACACGGAATTATTTTTTATTTTAGCATCACAAAGTCTTATATGTGGCTGACCACATGGTGTGGCCAACCATTATAAGGGTTACTTTGCTAGTGTAATGAGGGTTACTTGATCAGTGTTAAAGAGGTTACTTCATAATTGTTATAGAGTTACTCGGTCATTGTTATAGGGGTTACTTGATTGGTATTACAGGGATTACCTGATCAATGTTATAGGGGTTACTTTAAGTGGTCACACGGTGTGACCGGCCGCACACAAGACGAGTTGTTTTAGCATTATTTACGAAAATCACTCTGGGAAAACTCATTCTAATCTTATTGTTTTACTCGTTTTCATCTAATTGTCAAGAGTATATATTACAGCTAGTAAATATATAGATGAAATATAATTTATGTAGGCACCTTTAGAAAAGGAGAACAATATCAATATCTATTAATAACCTATACATGCCATTTTGTTTTTGTTAGTTACTTAACAAGTTAACTACATGGTATGATGGAGTTAATTACGAGTATATTTTGTTAATCAATGATGCATTATCCCCTAGTTAACTTGGTCACGACTACAATTTGACTTTACAAAACAAACTTTAAATAGTTCGGCCAACCCTAAACTTCATCTGAATATAATTTGACTTATCATATTAACCTTGAACATATATTGGAAGGGAAAATACAAGTTAATCTGCCAGATAAACGAATTGTTTTTAATCTGATGACATTTTTGTAATATATTGAAAAAGTAGGGTCATATGAAAAGACGCATATATCCCTCCCTTAATACTTGAAAAGACAATTATAGGTATCTCTCGTATTGTACTTCATATGATCTATTTCTTCCTTGTAACCAACAAGTGAAAAAAAAAAAAAAAAAAAAAAAAAAAACCTTTAGACATAGATGTGGTTTTGGTTTATATACCAATTGCGTCATTTCAATTTCTTCCAAGAACAAATTCCACAAGGTTATTATACTCACTATAGATTTATGGATTAATCCGCTACCTTCCTTCTAGGTTGCGAGTTTAACTAACACATAAACTTACGAAAGCGATACAATAAATTATACATAGTAAGAAATAAAAGTATAATTTAACCTAACACTTTTCAATTTTTATTTTAATTACATTAACCATTGATTATTATAATGACACAAAGGATGAAATTTCTGATGTTGCATATATTTTGCGTCACAAAATTAAAATTAAGATAGCGTATAGAGAAGTGGAGTAGTAAAATCCTGGAAAATCAGCATCCCTTCAAACTTCAAAATTTATCAAACTCCCAATTTAATCTCTGTGCACTTGCAGTTATTTCCATCAATAAGTAAAGAAGGTATCTTTAACTGTTACTTTGCAGTGGGGGCCCTCTTTCACAACTTATATCCAGGTTTTCATGCCAGATTTTTTGTACCAAAATCCCTGCTTTTTTTTTTTTGGAAATATTATAGAAATAAAATACTGTAGTAATTTGATTTAATAGGTACTGTAAATACAGATTGAAAATATGAAGAAAAAAAAATGAGAAAAAAAGTACATTTTGGAAGATATATTGGCAGAGATCAGGGGATATATTTGAAACTCAAGGGATCTATGAATCTATTATTCCAGGTAGCTGAAGTTTCCTCTTGGACCATACTGTATACTTATTTTATGTACCATAATATTTTGATTTTTCATGTAACCAAAATTACTGAAGTAAGTATAGGAGAATTTACATACTACGGCCATGTTCTTTTGAGCTTCTGGGCAGAGTAGAGCAGGGCAAAGCAGAGCGGGGGCAAGCAGAGCAGAGCAGATTTCAGCAGAGCAGAGCAGATTTTAGCATTATTTTTATTAATATTAATACAACTATTATTATTAATTTTATTATTATTATTATTATTGTTATTATTATTATTATTAATTTTTTTAATTTTATTTTATTATTATTATTTTTTTAATTTTATTATTATTACTATTATTATTATTATTATTAATTTTTTTAATTTTATTTTATTATTATTATTTTTTAATTTTATTATTATTACTATTATTATTATTATTATTAATGTTGTTACTATTTAATTTAACTACTATTACTATCTTTTCTCAAAAAAAAACTACTATTACTATCATAATATCATTATCGCATTGTACTACCATTATTATTATTATTATTATTATTATTATTATTATTATTATTATTATTACTATTATTATTATTATTATTATTATTATTATTATTATTACTACTACTACTACTACTACCACTATTATTATTATTACTACTACTACTACTACTACTTCTACTACTACTACTACTACTACCACTGTTATTATTATTTTTACTACTACCACTATTATAATTGATAGGTGAGTGAAAACATAAATAGATGTGTACCACGTTAACATATGTTTATACTGAATAGATAAAGGACGATAATGGTTTAAAATATTCAAATTATTACATATTCAAATTATTAAAACATTGTGGTGAATTAACCATCTACTTCCATATGATCTTCATTTTCATCATCTTCATTTTCATCTTGATCTTCATTTTCATCATCTTCACTGCCATCTTGATATTCATTGTCATCACCTTCATTGTCGCTTTCCGAGCGATTAGCCCTCCAAATTCGGCGTGCTATACGATGTCGCACTTTGGCCATACTAACTTTGCGCCATTGTGCATACATAGTTGAATCTGCTACTCCTATACTTGCGTCATGTTGAATGATTGGTATGCCA